CTTCTGGTCTACGCAAACGAGGCCAAATGGAGAACCAAACAATTATCTGAATAGTTCAAAGGCACCCCTGAGCCGACTTCGCATTGTTTGTGATTGCAGCCTGGTGGGACGTTTTACAGTCGCACTGTCCCATAATTGCCTTTCTTGTCCACTTTCTCTCCCCAACACGGACGGGAAGAAGGAAGATCGGCGGCGGACGAGCAGCGTCCTGCTGGGGGTGGAGCCCTTCCCCCCCCCCCAATCGCTGCTCAGTGCTAAGCAGGAAAGCCTAGAAGCCCCTTCCCTCGTTTCCTGTGTCCCTCAGCTCCCGGGCCACGCAGGTGCCCCTCGGAGCCGCACTTGGCGTCCTGGCCCTGCGACGGGTCGGGTCCCGGGTCAGAACCCAAAACTAAGGGCATGGAAAAGCCAGAAAGGGAGCGATGGGGATGTCCTGGGCGGAGGGGTCGCTGGAAGGTAGTTTTCTGACAGGGAGGACAGTCTACATCCTTCGAGAGTGATTTTCTGAACTGGGGGAGGCACCAGTGGGGGCCCACGGTACCCTCACTTCCCTTACAAGAAGAAAAAGAAAAACGGCTCCTTCTGGCTCGGGCGCCCCGAATCCGAGTCCCATCCCTTCCCACACACACATTCTTGCGGTGTCACGATGTCCCCAAGCCCGGCATTTCCTGCAGTGCTCGCCACATCCCCCTTCCTGGCGTTTTTTGTGCAGAAGGGCCCGGGGGAGACCTCGTTTTAAATGTCGTAGTGAAGTCACGCCCCCTCCTCACAGCTGAGGAGCCCTCGGTGGGCCCGGGGATTGTGACCCCGCCTGGTGGGTCGGAAGGGCTGAGGGGCGGGGTGCGGCCCAGCAACGGATCCACTGAACATCTATCGCCACTGTCGCCCTCGGGGCCTTCAGGCTGCAAGTACTGGAGGTGTTAGGAAAAAAAGCCGAAGGCTCCTGTGAGGACATTTCTGCCATTTGAGTCGAGGGTTGTGGAGGAGACAGTTGATGGAAGTGCTTCGGGGAACAGCAAAGAGGGACATCAAAAACTAGCCCGAAAAGAACAACTTTAACCTGTTCCCCAAAAGACTTCATTGTCTGCCTCTTAATGTTCAAACAACACCACTAACAACAATAATAAAATAAATAAAATGCTTGAAATACAATCAATTCGTTTGCTGGAGGTTTGTTTCCAAGTAAGCTTATAAAACGCAAAGGCAAATATCTTTTCCTGACGAATATCCGTAGCTAGACTGAGGGAAAGCCGATCTTTATAAAACGCACCCCCGCCCCGCCCCCGCATGCCAGATATTAATTTCACAACAGCAACTTTTATATCCAAAGCAGAGCTGAGAACACCGCTGCTGTTCGCTTTTCAATTTACATGACAAGCTGTTCTCAATTCTCTGGTCTGGTGGAGGGACAAAGTGAGGGGCAACCGCATGGGTGGGTGGGGGCGCGGGTACAGCAGGGTACAACTTCCTATTGTAAACCCAGGGCCCGCTAGCGTTTCCCGAGTTCGGAAAACAACCTAGTCGCTAATCGCTGCATCCATCTCCGTGCACAGCGAGCAGTGTAAAAACAGTTTAAAGAGTGAATTCGCCAAATGCTGAGGTGTTGAGAAAGCCCTCTTAATAGTCCTTCAGGCTGAAGCCACAGGGCCACTTAAAGCCTAGAGCAAGGGGGCTGATAAGACCTTATTTTTCGAGTCCTGGCCCTTTACTCTCACACCCACCACTACCTCCGCCCTGTGTTTCTGCGAATCACCAATTTCTAAGCTTCTTGGTGACAAATCTGGTATTTTCCTAACCCACCAGTGACTTGGCCTTGCCAACAATCTGGAAAAGGAGCCTCAAAAGCCCCCTGGCACACAGCAGGCCGGTAGGCAAGGGCCTCGGGAGTCGGAGTTTCCGGTCACACTCCCTGCCCCCAAAGCTTAATTCTAGAAGCAGCAGGTCTTCCTTCTCTCCGAGTAAATGTTCATTCTGAAATACACTAATTTCTCAAAATGTTCAAATGGCACGGAGCTATGCCTGCTACAGAAGTCAGGGTCCTTGACATCTAACAACCAAAGCTGCAATTGTAATTTTTCTGCAGAAATGGGGAAGCCACGACTACAGCCAGGAAGCCAAAAGGGGCTCCCAACACGTCCTAGGAGTTAATAGATTGTCACAGATCTGAGGAGCCTGGGTGTTAAATGCGTCACCACACTTCTTCACAGTCTCCCAACCTCTCCACTTCCCCTGGGTTCTAGTAAATGATTTAGGGTTTAGTCTCCTGCAGGATCTTTTCTGGAGTTTTCTGCTGAAATGAAGACTCGCCCCATAGGAGGAGGAAGGCCCGTCTTTTCCTGCTTGTTCATTTCTTTCCCTCTCATTTCTCTTCCTCCTATCCCCTTCCAGTCACCCAGAGCCTGCAAATCTCACGCTTATGTACAAGGAGTGGGGTCGTTCTGTGCTTAGGCTCCTAGAAAGAAATTCTTGAGCCGCCCTGCAGGTGCGATCCTCAACATTCCCCCAAACCCATCCGTTATCTCTGCTAGTCAGAAGCCCCGCGGGTGTGGAGATGGAGATTGGCCTGGGAAAGCGTTAAACTCTTGGATGTATTTATTTGTTTCTTGTCATCACACCTGCTAATGTCACTGAGCCCACAGCCTGACTCCTCCTCTGAGCCGAAACAAGTCAGGCCGGACAAGAGGGGGCGGTGCGCGGCGAGACCGCGGGACCCCCTTATGGGCGAGGAAAGGAGCGCCAGGAAGCCGCCGAGCTCCCGGAGCCCGAGTCGCCGGCACCCTCGGGCAGCCAAGGATTCTTGGGGGGCCATAGTGGGGTTCGGGGAGGCGCAACCTACGCAGGCGAACGACCTTCGGTTGTTCCCAGCAGGGCTCTGTATCCCTCTCCTTACTTCGACCGAGCAGGGGTCCGGGAACGGGCGAGATGGGGCAACACCACCTTCTTCCCCACCATGAACAGAGCACAGCTGTAACTGAGCCCTCCAAATCGTGTTCTTTGTAATAGAATTCAGGACAGGAGAACCGTCAGGTGGGGAAACACTGGAGCCTTCTGTGAACCCTGTGAGATTGACAATCGGGAAAGGAGGGCAGGGGAGGAGAAGGTAGGAATGGGGGAGATAAGAAACGTGAGAGGGACAGTTGGATGGGAGGAGAGGCCCGGGAATCCCTAGTGCTGGAGTCAGCCAGGTCGGCGAAGAAATAGGAGTGGCAGCGCGAGGCTGGCCTGGAGGACCCGTGGACATCTTGGAGCGGTGGACGGAGGGAGGGTCTGCATGGTGCCCAGGAGGACCTGGAAAGGCTGCGGGAACAACAGGCGTCCGTGCGAAGGGCCGGGATGGAAGGCAGCGCCAAGCGCCCGCAGCAGGCAGGTGGATGCCGGGGGTGGGGCACCGACTGCGGACGCAGGCCCGACGCGGGCGCGGGCGCTGGGCCCAGGCGGCCGGCGCGCGTGTGGTCAGCCCGGCGGTCCTCCGGCCTACGGGCGCGGGCCGGCCAGGCTCGGCCTCCGGCTCATTCAGAGGCGGTTCTCTCCTCCCATTGGCTACTGCTTTGTGGCGGGGCGGGGCTCCGCTGCCCGGAAAAATGTAACTGCGTAAAAAAGTCCTCGTCTGGGTGACGGATGCTCAAAAGTTCAGAAGTTTTCCCAATGCTTCCTTAAGCGGCTGGCGCGCAAGAGACTGAAAAAAGGTGACGCGGGGCCCGGGAAGGCGGCCGGCGCGCTGCCCCCCCACCCCGCCCCTGTTATTTGGCCGCCTTTGCGGGCAGCTTGGGACAGTCTCCTGGAAGGCGCAGGCAGTGTGGCGAGAAGGGCGCCTTCTTGTTCTTTACTTTTGGCTTCTTCTCCTCGTTTGCGCCTGGAAGTTGCTCCGCGAGTTTCTCCACAGCGGTTTGCCGCGTCCTTGTCTGGCCCTCTCCCCTTGCAGCGACCCTCCCTCGCGGCCGGCGCGGGCCCCGAGGTAGCCCGAGGCGCCGGAGGCACCGGAGCCAGCGCTGGGAGAGGCCGCGCGCCGCGGACGGCGTAGGGAGGCGGCGGCGAGCGGGCAGCACCAGCGCGGCGGGGCCCGGACTCGG